TAATATCTTATGAAATACGAAATATGCAAAACTTTATTTATTTATATCAAATGGCAGGCGTCTTGATTGTTATCATTAGCCCTTTAGTTGACTTCAGGCTTCACAGAGGGGAAGGAACATCAAAGCGAAAAAATTCGAGATGGGGAGGGGGAACAGAGGAGTGTTTCAAAGACGTAAGAGACAGACACAAAGGTAGAAAAAAGGTGAGGTGAGTACTGTGAAAATAGTCGAATATGGCATAGAGTGAGGTGACGGCAGTTTGAAGTGAGAAGTCAAAATGCCGAGTGATAGACTTGTTTGCCGTATGAATATACGTTGCCCAGGGTGCACCACATGGAGGAAAGTCTATCGCACAAAACTTAAATGAAGCTCTTGTTAGAATCTATTTATTACTAAATGGATCAATTCTAAACATACAACTTTATTGCAGGCCAATTAAGATTATACTAGCCGTTCAATTTATTGTTTTAATGCTTCTTTTTTATAAATTTACAAACAAATACAAGGGGGGAAGGGGTTTAATTTTTAGCATAAATCAGATTCACTTACCATTTTTATTGGAAGAATTATTAAATAAGGCATTTATTATAATGAGTTAAAGTTACTGAGTTTTAGTCTTAATGATCCATTGTGACTTCAATTTTAAAATAGTCCTATCAATTGATCAAACTATCGATTGGTGGCAAACCATTCGTGCAGTTAGTGGTCTTTGCTGAACACAAACAGTCATTGGTGGAGATAATAATGATTTCACAAAATAAAACTGATTCGAGTTTTCATTCAACACTCCTTCTAAAATTCGGTTCTTGATTTGGAACGAGCATGCTAATAAACCGAGAATGATTGCGAGAAATGGGGAGGGCTCACCTTGGGGTTGAGTGAAGTCTTGCCTTACTTCTTTGTGGAGACTTGGTCGGTTCCTCTATTTGACGTGGTTTGATATTCCACCACCATTTCACCTTACTTCGACTAGCGACCTCATCATATCCATCGCCATAGAATTTCGGAGAACGTAGAGTGGGCACTTTACCCCCCTCACTTGCAGCGGTGTATTGACGACGCAAATTCTCCAACCGAGGCCACGGCAAAGGGGCTATTTCGTACATTAGACGAATGAACTCGGCTGTGGAGACATTGGAATTACCCTCGGCGATCTCCTCCAACCACTGAGTCATGCTGGAGTAAAACTTGTCTGCACTCGTCAGTTGCATTAGATCTCTACTTAGAAGAAAAATTAACAAGTTAGATATCATCCGTGGAAGGTTGTGGAGAATGAGGAACTAGGAAATTGTGCTTGGAATGCTTAGCATATTTTATTTCATGAACTGGTCAAAAACTTTCCTGGTACCATTTAACTGAAGTTAACGAAAAAATCTTGGGTTAATTGACAGAATCATAGTAAGAAGAAGTAACTCTTGATTGTCAAGTAAAATATGCATTAGTTAAAGTCCACCGTTGAGTTTTAATCAGCTTAGAGAACCATATAACGGAATACTTTAAAAGCTATTCTATTATTAAAAAAATGTCCATTTTTACAAATGCCTTCCGTTGATAGTTGGGTCTAAAGCGCTGATTTACCCAACTACTTTATTCAAACTTGTATTGAGACACAAAAGAAGACAATGTAGTGACCTCATACCCAACCTCGACCTCGTTGAGTGTCGATAAGGGTTCCAGTTGATCTACACCAGTCCAGCTGTCTGCGTATTCTATCCAAATGTGTTCCAATTCATTCTCCCTCTCTGTGCTAAGACTTATCACCCCCCTTTTCAAAACGAACAAATTGTGTTGCCTGCGTTAACAGACAGACGCCTTGGCTAGTTGGAAATATTCTCGTGATCAAAGGCGAACTGAAGGTAGAGGTGGTCAAAATGAGATCTTAATGTTACATAAACATGGGTTGAACCGATATGGTGTCTTCATGTTTGCCTTTTTTGACGCAACAACTTACGAGGGTGAACGAGGACATAATGTCTGCAAGGTGGTGGGNGGGGGGGAAGGAACATCAAAGCGAAAAAATTCGAGATGGGGAGGGGGAACAGAGGAGTGTTTCAAAGACGTACAGACACAAAGGTAGAAAAAAGGTGAGGTGAGTATAGTAATGTGGAAGGTAGTCGAATATGACATTCAGTGGGGTTAGTACTGTGGTAGGGGTCGAATATGACATACAGTGGGGTGGTGGCGTACTGTGAAAATAGTCGAATATGGCATAGAGTGAGGTGACGGCAGTTTGAAGTGAGAAGTCAAANCCCCTCCCTACTTTTATGACTTCGATGTTCCTCCTCTACTCTCTATCATTGTGCCTGTCTCTTTTACATCTGCAAATCACTATATGGTCCACCCTCTTGAACTTTGATGTTTCTCCCCTCTGTGAAATTCGAAGTCAGCTAATGGCTAATGATAACTATCAAAATGCCTGCCATTGGAAATAATGTTCCTAGCTTCTGTGAAGCCTGAAGTTAACTAAAGGTCTAATGATACCTATCACAAAGCCTGGCAGTTGATATACATAGATTAATTTTGTGCTAGAAAGGCCTTAGCATTCTGACTAATTTCATCTATTCTCCATCACTATCATATAAACTACAGCCAATAGAAACGACTTATTTAATGAGCAAGGGGTGTGTGAGTGACTTACCTCCACGCGGTGCACCCTGGGCAACGTATTCTTATACGGCAAAAAAGTCTATTAACTGGCAGTTGACTTCTGACTTCAAAATACCATGGCCCAACTGCTTGTCATATTCGACCCCTTTCACAGTACTCATCTTACCTTTTTCCCTACCTTTATGTCTGTCTGCCTCTTTTACACCTGTGAATCGCTCTTCTGTTCCCCGCCCCTCGACTTTCTGTTACTTTGACGTTCCTTCCCTCTGTGAAGCCCGAAGTCAGCTAAATGGCTAATGATAACTATCAAAACGCCTGCCATTTGAAATAAATTTAATGAGCAAACCCTTTCAAATTTATTATATTAAATACGGCAAAAGTAAATAAATGCGTTGCATTAACACAACTCCACAATTTTTTTTCAAATACTGACAACGAAATGCACTAACTCAGAGAGAATTTCCATAACCACCAGACCTGCGCGAAGACCAACTTCTGAACCTTCCAGAAGAACAGCGTCCCAAATTCGCAAAACGGTGCTCATTGGAAGAGTGGTGGAGAAGAGGGTCAGGAACCACTGGATTGCGTAGAGATCTGTGAGTGGAGGCTCAAATTCGGACTTTGGTTTCTTGCTTGTGGCGCTATCGGAACCGTAATTCATTGACTCAATTGCTAAAATTGCTAAACACAAAAAGCACAAGGCCATATTTTTTATTTGCATGCAGAACTAGTCATTGGTACAAAAATTTCGTTTTCTTTATTTGTTTTGAAATGTCAATTTGGAGGGCAGAGTACGAATTCACCAAAAAATTAAATTAAATTAGACTCTCAGAATTAAATTTTGATTAATATTTCACTACAAAACGCTCTAATAGTGCTATTGAACTTTAAGTAAGAGTTAAAAAAAGTCACCTTAAACTCTTTTTAATTTTACAGGAAATGTAGCATATTTTTGCCATGATATTAACAATACGCAATAATTATTGGCTTTAATTAAAAAAATAATTCAAATGATTATTTATAAGTGGAAGCTTGGATTGGAATAGTGGTTACATGCTCATAGGCAGCACTCAAAAGATAGTGATTTGAAATATAATTCCCTTCAATGGAGTCTTCGAAGGGGAACTTGAGAGACAATGTTCATGACAATTCCATGATTTCGACCTTAACTATTTGGAAGTCAGGTCTCGACAGTGGATTTCATAACTCAAATATCAAATAATAAACATCTTATGTATGTTTGCCAGTAATTAATTAGTTTAACTAAAAGTTGTATTATATTATATTATAGCCTGAAAAATGTGAATTTTTGCGCTCTTTGCACGCTGATAGAATAAACGTCAGCAAATTCAAACAAGAAAGGAAGTGGCATGTTCCTTTCCAAGCGGTCAAAAACATTTTAAGGGGGAGGGAATCAAATGTATCTTGTGACGTACTGAACTAATTATAGGGGCAATAACTCGGTGCTAGTATGTCTTAAATTTCATCCTTGAAGCCAAATAAATTTAAAGTGATATTGTGACGTGTTCGTGACGCTTTTGCCAACTAGTTTCGTGTGAAGATCGTAGAGAAGCGTGATGTTCACTATACTTGAAAATTAAAACCATTCACTCGTTACCATAGATTCGAAATTTTGAACCCCTAAGACAGCCTGACGTAGCAGCTTTGCTTTAAACGTTTTTTAGCGCAAATTAAGTCTCATATGCGTCAAGAAAATGTGACCTGAATGTTAAATGAACGCATCTGGCTAAAACTTAGTTTTGCGACCAACTGAAAGCACCACCAAGAGGAAATGAGTCAGGTTTAGGGGTGGGGGGGGGGTGTGGTACTAGAGAATAATCACCTGCTTCCTTTTGAAGCCTCTGCAAATGCGCCGCCAAATTGGGTTGGCAGAAAGCAAGAAGATCCCGGAAGACTGTGACATCGACGGTGAGGGCTTGGAGATTTCGAGCGAAGTAGGATTCGGGTAGGATGTAATCCACGAGGCAAATCATGACCTTTAAGGGCAAAAAAGTGCAATTAGATCTAGAAAATGTGTAATTAAAAGTGATTTTAATCTGAAATGCTCCATAAAACCAAACTAATTGATAAGGTTGTAGTAATTACAATTGAGAAAATGAAAACTAACTTTAACTCCCTGACAAAGTTCAAATATTTCTTTAGTACATACATATGTATATACCCTGGGGTGTGCGATAGACTTACCTCCACGTGGTGCACCGTGGGCAACGTATACTCATACGGCAAAAAAGTCTATTAACCGGCAGTTGACTTCGGACTCCAAACTACTATCACCCCACTGTATGTCATATTCGACCACTTCACAGTACTCACCTCACCTTTCATCCACCTTTGTGTCTGTCTCATTAACATCTTTGAAACACTCTTCTGTCCCCCCCCCTTTCGACTTTTTGCCACTTTGATGTTCATCTTCATTTCTGTGAAGCCCAAAGTCAACTAAAAGGCTAATGATAACTATCAACACGCTTGCCATTTGATATAAATAAATAAATATTTATACCATTTTCTGTCATTAAAAGTCTGGTACCCTCTATGTGGTTGGTCCTGGAGAGGAAAATTCAGCCCACTTAAATTTTCTAACGATTTTGAGAAGATCTCAATGAGGAGGAGAATTGATATTCTAACTTCACACCTGTCACGATTAAAATATAAAATCGTTAAAAACTTTCCTTACTTACTTTATTGCAAAATAGCACCTCCTGTAATTTTCGTGAACTATAAAGAATTACGTTTAATGTAAACGAATGAACTTGAAATGTAATAAATTTCCGTGAAACTTAGTGATGAAAGGTCGAAAGGTAGTTAAAATTTGAATAATTGAAAAGCATCATTGAAAAGTAATAATTTGAAGTTAGCCCAAAGGACGACCAGCATCTAAGGAAACAGGAGGAAATGTCATCAAAATCTTAAAATGCTGTAAGAAAGAGGCAAGAGTGTGAAATTTCTCTCGTTAAGCAAAGAGAATGATGAGGAATGGATGAACAGTTTCTGAATAAAGCGATACTTCTGCCGTTACGAAGGGTCATTTCAAGCAACCAGTGCTTTTTTAGTCCCCTAGAACTTTGTCAAACTTATGTCTATTCCCAAACCCTTAGAAATGATGGAATCAAGTGATAAATTTTCATTAAAAATAGATATTTTTAACGAATGTCCTCTTTTTGAGATAAAGTTTAAAAAAGTGACGTGGATCTGCATTAATCTGTTAAAAACATTTCAATGAAGTAAATCTATTAAAGATGAAGTTCTAGCGATAATATGTCCTTTGAATGCCTCCTCTATCGTCAAATTCGTAACAGAACGTTTTTTTCTTTGAATGATTAACACTCTACACGACTCTAAAGACGCCAATTCCATATTTGTTACTGGTGTATCGATTGAAATGCGAATTGAGAGAGCAGTGTATCACACACACACACACACACACACACACACACAAGTTTGAACCACCGGTTACCCAGGTGCTAGAATCAATAGCCATCTCGACATATAAGATAGAATGCAGGATGACAACCGCAGAAGAATCTCCACGAATGTACTCTCAAATAGAGCGGAAAGAAGGGGGATAAAAGGAAATCGCTTACTGAACTACTCGAATTGAAACCTGCATTAAAAGTGTGAAAGCTTTCGGAAGGGCAGAGAATGGTGATCCTCCTCTAAAACCACAAGCATACGAACCAAAAGTACTGCAGGGGATACGTCTTATGAAAGGAGAGAGAGGGAGAGAGAGAAAAGAGAAAAAAGTATGAAAGCTGTTGTCATGAGTTTCTGGGCGTTTGCTAATCCTCATTAGAAAAGCAAATGATGAAAGAGGTAGACTAGATCTTTCAAATATTCCCCATGAAGGAATAGCGGACTTTAAGAAGTACCACACGATGAGAGAAATTAAAAAAATATGTTTTTGTAATAATTAGATATTTTTCCTTGACGAAAGTAGTATTTCTTTCGATCTAATTATTTCGCATCAATATTACTATTAGTAAATATATGAATTTTAGTTGCCTGCAAATAGTTTGAATCAAACCGCAACAATGTATCGCTATAACATTTAGAACTTGTACCTAGCATCAACTCTAGTTGTGATATCGGCTGGTTGATCTCAAAAGTAACTCTTCCTTGACTTAAAGGAAATCTGAAAAATTGCTAGTAATAAGATTACGAAATATTGAACCTCGACAACCTCGAGCAAGGCTGACCCAAGGAGACACACATACATACAAGAATATTCTAGAAAGTGCCATCTTCTATTGATCGCGGAGAGAGTAACTGCGTGAGAAGCCTCGCCAGATAATTAGCTACCAATACTCTTTCAAAGCAAAACCTACTTCATTGTAGATTATGCCTTGCGATTCGCCATATTTGCAATAACGCTCCTCACTCATCATGTTCTGCATCCGCTCTAATTTGAGCAGAGAGTGGAAAAATTTGAAATCTACTATATTAGAAGCTTTTCATATTTTCTAATAGCTGGCTTCACATAAAATAGGATTAGTGAGGTTTAGCCAAGTCCCTGCCTCACAATTAACTGAGACGGTGAAAGATGTCCTCTGAGGAAAATGCCATTGGGTTTGCCACCATTTTAATTTTTTGCGTTAGAATGAAAAAAAAACAAGTTAATCTTGAAGATAATTCAAGAGAAATGATTTTTTACTTCATTGAAAGAGACGGAAACTCTAAAAGTACATTTTTTAATGAATTCCCCACCCCTCGCCCCTCGCCCTTCTTTTAACAAAAATGTTGAAAATAAAATATATCTTGAAATATTCGATTTTTATTGCCCATTTTTGATAACGTTGCACGTGAGTGTAATGAGGGCGATTTATCGTAAAGGCTGTTTTTGGACCCGGCTCCCTTGTGGTTTTAAAGCCGATTTATCTGGGTAGGGGAGGATTTAAAAAAACACAGGAAGATTTTATCGTTGGTTCAACTAAGATTGTCTTGTGGTTTGAGTTTGAAACAACACCTGTGCATCCTCTATGATATCTTGCCTTGTGTTTGAATTATCATTTCCGTTTTCTTATCACATTTTCTCCTTAAGAATACGTTAACATTTTCGACGTGAATTGCTCAATATCAATTTTTGACAAACTTTCTAAATGCAGACGTACATTTATAAATCGATTTAAACAGCAGATATTTGCCATTTAAAGGGTAAGCTATTTTTACGAAAAGTTAATTACGAAAAATTTCCCCACATATTACTTTTATGCTGCATTACAGGAAATTTTGCATGTTTTTAAAAAAAATATGATTTTCCAATATAGTAAAACTTACAGACACAAAGTGTCTAAGTCTCTTTTAAAACGCTGAAACATAAATTGAGTACGTAATACTTTAACACTCATTACGTGAAAATTTTCAGGAAAAATCGATAAGAGGCACCTTAAGAGCGTCTTCTTCATCTCTCTCCATGACAGTGAGAATAAGCGAGGCGAGAATGTTGAAACCTTGACAGTATCCCACTCGTCGATTCCACCTAGCATACGCGGTAAGCACACGTTTCAACGCCTCCCTATCGGCTTTCGACTGGCCAAAAAACGAACAGAAGCCAGTTCGATGGAGATCCTTCTCGATTTGCCTTCCTAGACTCTCCTCCGCTTCTGAGGCGCCTTGTGCCAAACTTCGAGGCGCAAAAACTGTCTGCACCAAACGAGGCCAATTAATGTGCTGGGAATTGAGTTGATGAGTGGCTAAGATGAGCCATATCTTCCGACGGAATTGATTTGGAATGCCCTCAGGGAGACGTGCCATGGAACGCATGGCTTCACGCCACTCACGGAAGGCCTCTTTAGAATCGCACGCGGGTTCATCCACGGTGTTCTGTTTGAAAGCTAAGTGTTGTCCAAAAAAAAAGGAAATTCCCTTCAAAAATTTGAAGCTATACAGGAATAGACGGGAATAGACAAATCAAAAAGAAATAATGTAAAATAAAAAGTAAATATGTGGAAACCAAGAATTGATACGTAAACGTCCTTTTGTTCCAACGACTTAATACTTTGATTATTCCAAAAAATAATAAATTAATAAAACATCAATCCTTATTTTTACTTGGAAGGAATGCGCAATAGACTTACTTCCACGTGGTGCACCCTGGGCAACGCGCATACTCATGTGGCAAATAAGTCAATAAACCGACAGTTGACTTCTGACTTCGAAATACCATCACCCCACTGCATGTCATATTCCACCACTTCCGCAGTACTCACCTTACCTTTTCTCTGCCTTTGTGTCTGTCTGTCTATCTCTTTTACATCTGTGAATCGCTCTTCTGTCCTCCCCCCCCCATCCTGCAAATTTTATTAATATAAACGGGAGATTGAATCTTAATTTTTTCAACTACTGAACAGATCAGTTAAATGAAATAGAGCTTATTTACTTATCCAATCACAAAAAATGCACTGCCAAATGATGAGCCAGTTGGTCATAACCAAACCAATGCTTCGCTAAATGGACTTTCTACAGCTGAAAATTGTGCCAACGAAATCAGCATTCAAAATCACCACACTCATTATTATTACTGTTTTTTTTATTTCTTTCCCATGTAACTAAATTCCTCATAAACGGTGGGCATAAATTCACTTCGAAGCAAATGCATTAGCATCTAAGTCAATCGCACACTTTAGATTTGGGAGCACGATTGAAAAATTGTGCTTATTTAAAGATAACTATTGAATAACACGAACGAATGTTAAGCCTTCTATATATATATATATATATATATATATATATAACAAAGACGAAATTTAAACAATCAAATTATGAGAAATGTTGGAATATTAGCATATTCACCATCTTTTACTCAACCAAGAAATATCTCAACAAAACAATTCAATTTTCAAATACGCCGCTACAAGCTAGTGATTTTATATAAAATAAACAATTCTGAGCGCTATATATTGTCCAGACCAGGACTATATATATAGTAAAAGTTTTAAACTTTCAGTTTAATTGATCTTTGAGAAAATCTGCGTGGGTTCTCCGACACTCGTGCTCTCAATTTCCAGACACATGTTAATGATTGTCTATCCCTGGTATCAAATTTTTTTCTACCCCAGATGGTCACTCTCTGGGGGTGTTTGGGTGTTGGCGACGTTGTGTGTAAAATGCGACTATATAAAGTAAAAGTTATAAACCTTCAGTTTAATTGATCTTTGAGAAAATCGGGGTGTGCGATAGACTTACCTCCACGTGGGGCACCCTGGGCAACGTATACTCATACGGCAAAAAAGGATATTAACCGACAGTTGACTTCTGACTTCAAACTACCATCACCCCACTGGATGCCATATTCTACCACTTCCTCAGTAATCATCCTACCTTTTCTCTGTCCAGATGGTCACTCTCTGGGGGTGATTGAGGGTAGGTGACGCTGTGTGTAAAATGCGAATTTGTAAATAGGAATGCATATTAATTTAAACTTCCGATGAACAACTCAGCAAAAATAAATAAGATATCCAAAAAAATATATCGTAATTTTTTTGCTTTATTAGAGGAGAAGGCGAAAATAGGAAAGGAGGATAGTGGGCACAGGAGCATTGGTTGAAACAAAGGTAGTTATTCTAACAGACATGGAATGTATTCACGTCACTTATATGATCGTCAGCTATGAGCTAACCTTTGTACAAAGGGCTGAATACTTTAATGAATTCCCGTGGCTTTGGTTTATTTGCATGACTCAATTTTTCTCAAATGAAGTGTGCGATAGACTTACCTCCACGTGGTACACACTGGGAAACGTATACTCATACGGCAAAAAGTCTATAAACCGGCAGTTGACTTCTCACTTCAAATTACCATGACCCCACTCTATGTCATAGTCCACCACTTCAGAGTACTCACCTCACCTTTATTCTCATAGTCCACCACTTCAGAGTACTCACCTCACCTTTATTCTGCCTTTGTGTCTGTCTGTCTCTTTTACATCTGTGAATCAGTCTTCTGTTCCCCACACATTGACTTTCTGTTACTTTGATGATCCACCTCTCCTCTGTGAAGCCCGATGTCGACTAAATGGCTAATGATAGCTATCAAAACGCCTTTCCATTTGAAGTGAATAAATTTTTCTCAAATGAGTGATTCTAACGTCGCAAATGTTAGACAGGGTCAGCCACAATTAATGGAAATTCCTACGCTTCAGTAATTTTTCTGTCTGCAATTAAAGGGCCATTTATTTTCCTCTTCTCGGAAACAAGGAGATTAGCTGTTTCGTTTAATTTTTAAAATTCCAATCATAATTGAAAAAAACATGCGTTGAGAAAATTTCGTTTTCCAATAACAATTCTAGTTGCGCGAAAATCAAATCGATGGATTTAAAATTCAGCTTTCCGGAGTTAAAGCACTTCCAAATTCCAAAAAGCACAAACTATTTCGATTTTGTTCAAAAGGAGAGGTGAAAGATATTTTAAGAAAATCACAAATGCATATCCTATTCAGAATTATTGCTGAGTTTTCGCCTCTGGCACACAAACACTGTTGGGTTTATACCCAGACAACTCACAATAATATTTCAATCACTTAAATCTAGTACCAAATATCAAAATATGTAATCAGATTAATTGTGTGCAAATTTCAAAGTTGGATGGTCTGGGAGCCTGATATTTAGAACTGGAGTACAAGTTGTGTGAATATCGCTGAAAAAATGAGTGATTTCACTCTTTCATTGACGCAGACCGAGAAAGTGTTAAAAAGAAAAGAAAAAGAACACTGAATAGCAGCAATTTCTGGTATTTAATGCTTACTTTTAAGGATGGTTAAACCTATCTATGGCTAAAGACCCCTCCCCCCAACCAGTTTTATTTAAATATTGAATTAATTTTCACAACTTCAAACTGTTTTACGCTCACACCAATCATATCAAACGATATAAAGTTCTGAGGTCAAGAAATTAAATGTACACAATACAGAAAATAGACTCTCTCTCTCTCTAATGACTCACGTTTTCTCCGTCTCACAATGCGTGTGCCAGCGCCGGGTGTGAGTGAAGGTTTCAGTGACGTAATTTTCCTTCTCATTGGATCGCATAATTCCAGAGGAAGATCTTCAAGTATTGACGTGTTATTCTGAGCGAATTCCTCTTCCTCTTTAAGACTGGAAGTTTTATTCCCTCTCAGTTTGCGCCCGCAATCAACCCACTGACTGTCATCATCGTTGGAAGCCAGGTGAGTGGAGGAATTTCTTGAGCTACGGAGATCTTCGCACCTGACGTCACACATAGCTACAGCAAAAACTCTACTACGACTGAAGTAGAAGAGAACGCGCGTCCCACAATTCGTGAGCCTGCAAAGGCAAATGCAGTTACCACCGCCTACGGGTGCGACGTACCACCACTACATGTGAGAAAGTACTTGAAGTAGAACCAATCAGAGCTCGTGCAAGATGCATTTGCCATTGGTGATTGGGCAATTTGGGTTAGACCAATCATGTACAGGTTTTGATCATAATTGGATGATGGAGGAGAGGGGTTTTTAAAGACTATTTTAAAAAAAGTCCGATAATAAAATAATTTTGTGGACAGGTAACGCTATGTTTCATTTCCCTTATTAACCGCAAGAGCAGTGATGAGGGCGTTCCTTTTTTTAAATTTGTATACTGTACTACTTTTGGTGCAAACAGTTGGGCTAATTGAAATATGAGAACGAAAGTAAAATTTACAATTGAGTGGAATGGCTAACCAGATTGATCAAGTCTGAGTGAAAAACTTCAAATCTTTCACCTTGGAGGTTTGTGGGGGTTTTCTGGAAATTTCAAAAGAAAAGTTTTAAAATAAAGCATTGATGAAAATTCGTGCAAAAAAATTATACATTCCTTTTCTTCTGAAATTTGCTGTGCAGATTTTGAATAAGCAAATAATTATTTTCATTCAGGACTTAACTGGATATGAGATCAAGCAATACCGTGTCAACTTCACGAACGGTTGCTTTTAACCATGTTCTGTATTTCTAAGGATGATATGAATACCAAATAGCCACTTTGAATTTAGAAGGGAAATAATGATACTTCGAACGGAAGTAGTGCTGTCAAAGAAATTTTCGCTAATTTGACCTTCTCGCTCTTGGCTGTAATGAGATACCAAAAAAATTAAATCAGCCGGTAAACAAGCTCTAATTATTGCGGACACAATTAAACTCATGAACCTGAGAGTCAGGAAACGGGATATTTCTGTGCTCTCATAAGTCAAACGAAGGACAATTTTTGTTATTACCATAATTAAAACTTGCAAATGACTTTCTCCACCGCCATAAAAAGTGGTGATAATTTTAAAAGGAAGCAAGTTAACCTCCATACATACCTAATTATAAAAATAGATCTAAATAATTTTCCACTCAGATGTACAACATCCGATACAAAAGCAAGCCTTTACCAAGCAGCAGTAAGAAATCGTTCCCGAAATTAGCTAAGTCGCCTCAATAACATCGAGGGAAAATTTTGTTTAGCTTATGGTGACTACACAGCGACTATTGATTTTTGGTTGGCTGCACTCACAACGCACTTTGCCCCTCAAGCGCTACCGGTAGCACGGCCGCACGTTTCAGACTATTCGAGCGCGCATGAGGTTCCTTGGTTCAGACCTGTTTAGCGTTATGCCACCGCGCGCAGGTGCTTCATTTAATGGAACTAGGGTTTTCTCAAGACGGGAGATGTGGATGTGAGGCTTGCGCAATAAACAGACAAAATAGGATTTTTTTTAGTATCTGGCTTTCAAATAAGTTATCACCACAATGAAATTTCAGTCAAAACCCCAAAATGTCGAGCAAAATGTCAGTGTGACTGAAAAGAGAACGCGGAAAGAAACATTTAAAAAATTTAAAATATATATTATTTTTTCAATATAAAATGTTAGAAAACGTACAAAATGCTGATAATATCAAAGAAAAAAGATATTTGATAGTCGCTCACTTTCACTTTCTCTTAGGAGGTAAGACAATGTCAATATGATTTTGAAATGTACTTTTAAGCTTGTGATTAATAAATTCACTCAATTTTTTGCCGACCTGTTCGCCGCTTCACCTTTATTCTGAGGGATTTCACATTCTGTACCCGCTATTTATAATTATTTAGACTTTGAATGTCGTCTGACTGTTATTCGTTTAAAAATTTATTTATTTCAAATGACAGGCTTTATGATAATTATCATTAGCCCTTTAGTTAACTTCAGACTTCACAGAGGAAGAGGAACATCAAATCGAAAAAGTCTAGGGGGG